AATAAAAATCTTTGTATTTTAAAGATTTCACAACATAGAACTTTTATTATGCTTTCTATCATGGGATAGTGCTGTTAATAACAGGCTATAAATCTTTCATTCAGCTCTAAACTTTATGTTCTTGATTGAATCGGCCATCATTAAGATGTGGATATGGTGCGTTTTTATCTAAAAAAAAGCTTTCCTGGAAGTGTGTCCACCCCCTTTATTCTGTCACTTAGACCAGCCACAAACTCCACTAATAAGCCTTCATCTACACGTAGAATAAAAAAATAAATAAATAGGAAACACTTTGGTATTCTGCACTAGGTTGATCAAATGGCCCTCATTTTTCACACCTTGAAACAAAGTTCTGCATATTAGACATTTAAATTCTGAATATTTAAAAAAATGTAGATATTTTTTTAATGCTAGGAAGAATATTATGCCATCATCATAACCATGCTATATCAGCTGTCCATTAAAAAAAAAAACGTTGAAAGTACCAAGCACAACTTCAGTAAAACAAACCAAAAAAACAAGAACAAGTTTTGGTGTGTACAGCATATGTCAAATTTTTTTCTAAAAAAAAAAAAATTCTCAACTCTAAACAGAATTTTATCAACTTTGTTTTTAAAAATTTAAAAGAAATTAAGTTTTATTATTATATTATGTAAGATGATGCTGTGACATCTTTAATAAATTAGAATTCACAAAAGCATCATAGCTTCTGTAAAACATCTCCCATTGTCCCTCAAAGGCAAGCATCCATAAAATTGTCCTGCAGGTTTTAGATGTTTCCCTGCTCCGGCACAGCATTTTCAGAATTCTAGTTTTCACAATTGATTTGTTTCCACTAAATAAGAAATTGAATTAAAATTACATTAGAAAATGTTTGTTCACACAATAACTCTTGAAAACAACATGGCAGCGGCAGATGTAAACACATGAGATATAGTGGTTCTATATAGTGTTTTTTTCTTTCTATTTTAAGAAAGAAAAAACAACCTTAAACAGAGGGGATGGACTCAGGTTTCAGCTTTCAAAAACCTACAACGTAGCAAGAGTTGATTCCTTCCCGCTATCATCGCAGCCCCCATACAGGGGAACAGAACACCTCGCCTGTTGAGCCAGGGCAACAATTCCTGCGAACAACCCCCTTTCAGAGGCATAGAACAGTATCAGGTATTGCAGGCTAAGGGGTGGACCTGTTCGTCGGTTCAATTTGCATGTTTTGTAAGCCAAAACTGCGCTTTGTTTTGGTCCATTCTATAAAGCTTTGAACTCAACGCTAATTCTGACATTTTCAATTGAAAAAGCTTCCTGGATGAGAAGCGAAACGTCTTCAAACTTGGAAACGAAGTCCAGTGGGTTTTTTTTTTGTTTTTACTTTTTTGACATGAGATATAGCCATACTTCAGCCACAGCTCCAGTTGGCGCCTCATCTTCCAATGCCTGGTCTTCTTCTTCTCCTTTTTACGAGGCCATGAGGTTCAGCTGCTGATTACGTGACTTATGTGATGCAAAAATCGTATTTCTATTGAAGTTTTGTGAAATATAAGAATTGCGATACGAGAAACAACCTCATTGTAGCGTTCAAACTTTTTACCTCTTAACACCCACATCATTTTGGGAAATTTTCGCCTAGTATTCATACCCAAATGGAAAAGCAAATAACTTAGGAACTGTAAGCCCAAATTACATGTGTGATACATTATTTGAAAGCTAACACTTTCTAGTTTCTGAATATATAGATGAAAATTGGGTGAGTAGAATACAGCCTAAGCTGCATCAGTTCAAACATGACTCAAAGTTGTTTTTTTCATTCTTGCAAATATAAGGTCTTTTTTGAACAGCAGTAATAAAGACATACTCGCTTGTTGTGGCTGCTTTGTCATATTTATAGTTTACCATGCTGCTATATCTTTGTTCAGTGTGCTTTGGTGCTCGCTGTGTCCATAAATTAACTTGGTGGTTGAATTATGGAGAATCTAAGCTTTCCAACGATGTCTAACATGTCTACATTGGTAAACATTTTACCAGTGTATTTTCATGCATTCAGAGTTATTAGTTATAAACGCTTTAAAACGGCAACCTGGTGGGTTTTGAGAAGTTAATTGAAAAACGTGGGTTTGTTTTGAATTGCAACGTTTGAAATTAGCTAATTTATTTTTGACATTTTTGCAATTTCATGGCAAATGGATACGCAGCTAATGTCAGCTTAACGAGCCCATAGCATGATGCCACCACTACTTTCTTTTAGATTAGGTACTGTGCTTTAGAGTTTAACTGCAATTGGATTCTTCTCATCTGAATAATCTGCTTCTTGCCCTTGCACTTTTCCAGAGTTTTATGCCAAACAAGGTGGGAATTCAGAGATTCTGAAGTTGCTTGACAAAGTCTATAGTTAAAAGTTGGTGGTCTTTTCATGAGTAGATGCCAATAACTGAAGCTTTGATACAATGGGGGTGTTCAGACATGAAAACAATCTCTAACACATTTGGAACATTAAGGGTTTGATGACTTTGAATAGCAGCCAAGTTAATGGGAGGAAAACAACCAGCTTGATTATGCCGTGAAGAGTGGAAAATATATCCAGCAAGAATAAAACCAGAATCTTACTGACGTCTTATAAAAGCTTATGTTCTTCCTAATGGACAATCAAAGCCAGAGAGAGTTTGTGTTTATACCTGAGGCAATATTTCAGCATGAGAGGATTAAAGAAAGTCAGTACTCATTTTTTTTTTTTTGCTTGTGCACCAAGGTTTTGCTTTTTATATATAACCTAGAGGCTCAGGATTTTATGATCGCTCCATTTTGATACAAGTATAAGTCCAATAAATTATGTCAAAATAATTTTTGGAGGACCAAACAGTGAACCTTTGGAAGAACATTATCCTGCTGGACCATTTTATAAAAGCCAAACACATGTAAATGAGCTCCAGCAACTCTGCCAGGAAGAGTGGTCACATTTCCATCCAGGATGGATGCTTGCTGAAGGCCGCAAAAAGTTTATGGCTGAAGGGCAACTTGCTTAGAGACATTTAACCAAATATTGTCTGTGGTTTATGTATGTATAAATATAAATGTATGTTTATGTGGGAGATAGAGAGTGCAATCCTGTTTTTAGGCATTTAAAAGATTCAAACCTAAAAACAGATTGCTTCAAAAAAATCTATCATTAAAAGCCTAAACTCAGCAAATTAATTCTCAATGTTTTGTCAAAGTTTTTACAGATCTCTGGGTCCAAAACAAACTTTTTCAGTGGTTTTAACTTGGGATGCACAAATCCATATTAAAATGGACTGTTGATTAAATCATAGACAGATGTCCATCAAGGAATTCATTTTTCTGTTGTTCTCTACCTAATTTTCTTATAGAAAAAGACTACACTCATCTGGCCTGATGGATCAAGCAAAGTTTCCAATCTAGATTTTCATTATCAGAACCAACAGATATATTAATATCTGTGATATGTTTTTACTTAGTGTTGAATTATTGTGGCAGACTTCAACATTCACTCTGGAAACCATGAAGATAGAAATGCAATATAACCATAACTATGGGGTACTTTTGTTGATCATCACTGTCTCTAAACATTTTTAAATTGCAGCTAACTGATGTTGCCCTACCAACAGAAAATAATTAGTGCCATTAAAAAAATTTGTTGAATTCTGACTATAATCTCAGATTTCTGACTTTTTTCTTAGAATTCCGACTTTATTTTCAGAATTCCAACTTTAATTCAAGGATTCTAACTGTAATCTAATTTTTCCGACTAAAATCTCATAATTCTGACTTTACTTTTAAACTTCAGGCTTTCATCTGATAATTCCTACTTTAATTTCATAATTCCGATTTTAAGAATTCCAACTTTAATCAAAGAATTCTGATTTTAATCTCATAATTCTGACTTTACTTTTAAACTTCAGACTTTCATCTGATAATTCCTACTTTAATCTAATAATTCTGAGTTTTAAAAATTTCAACTTTAGTCAAAGAATTCTGACTTAAATCTCATAATACTAACTTTATTTTTTTTTAGAATTCCCACTTGAATCTAAGAATTCCGATGTAATCTCAGAATTCTGACTTTGTTTTTAGAATTCTGACTCTATCCTCAGGATTCTGACTTTGTTCCCAAAACAATTGTGAGAATAAAATCTGATTTCTGAGATAAAAGTCAGAATTGTGAGATTAAAGTCAAAATTTCAAACAAAGTTGGCCTTCTCTGACCTAAAGAACATCTCCATGATTAAAGGCCTAAAGTGAGAGCAGGAACTGGAAAAACTAAATAATCTGTTCATCTTTAGCAGCATTAAATAGATCCATAGCGTGTTCAAAGGTCTGCCTAAAAAAGTTGACTAGGTTGATCCAGAATACTGCTGCTGGCATCCTCACTAAAACTAGAACGTGGAACACACCTTCCATTGGCTCTTTGTCTCACAGAAAATAGACTTGAGAAAAACTTTGGTCTTTAATTTAAACAAATCAAAAGTCCAGTTTCAATGTTTTTTTTTCTAGCATGTATCTAGTAAAAGTAAAAAAACAAGCAAGAGTAATACTTTAAGAGATGTTTTGACGTTTGACTTAGAAATTGAGGTTTTGGTACGAGTTCTGTGAAACTAGGGTTGGTATATAGAAGCCTGGTGAGGAGAATCCGCAACAGCACCTCAAATAACAACACATGATGAGTCAAAGAATTTGGTGTATTACCAGATATTTTATCACACTAATTAATAATATATAATGTAAAGTTTTATTACACAGGTAAGGGCACTGTGGCAGGGGCTTGAGTTCACCACAAGTGTGCCTTATGGAAAAGCCATCTGACATTGGAGGTGTCCTGGCTGCAGCCAAACCCGTATCACACTCTATGGAGGTGAAATCCAAAAACCAGGTCAGATTGAGCAATGCCCAACTCTACAACGTTCCTCTGTAACACAAGTGTAACAGAAGAATCCAATAATACACTTTACGGTAAAAAAAATAAATAAATCAGCAACAGATTGTATGAAAAACTTTTTATTAAACGTCACAACAAGGTGGCAACAATTGACAAATACAGCCAAAATGTCCTAAATTATAAAGTATAAAAATAAAGTGTTGAGTTTTTTTTAAGCTTTATAGAACATGTAAAGACTCTTCCATAGCAACGGCTCTCCCCGGTGATTAATGTCGACATGCGGCAGAAGGAAAATGACTTAAAATAGAAAAGATTGAGATCTGAAATGCCAGAGTCTCAGGTTTAAATGATGTAAATACCGAGTCAAAGAAACAACTAAAGCCAACAAAACTCTACCTCAGATTTCTCAAACCTCCACTATAAACGCTCTGCCAACACATTGTTTCACGGTTTAGGTATGTCAGACACACCGGGTAGTAGATGTGAAATGTTCCGCCACTTATACGGTGCATGTATACCGTAGCCACAGATGGCCTTAAATTATATACAGTTCTTGCCTTTCCAGTCCCTGGAACAAGGTTTCTGGAAAATAAACAAACATTAACTACGTTTGTGATTACAGGTAAGAGGTTTATCATTTAAAAACAAATGAGTATTTTTATCCTGCACTACTTCTGGATGATAGACCCTGTTGCCTTTCAGGAATAAGGTTCTGGATTCAAATCCCAGCATGGGGTTGTGAATCGGTCTTTCGTTGACCTTCGGCCAACGGCCGGTGATAGGCACCAGCCCCCAACAGTCCTCCAAGGATCCATCTTTTCAATCTAAAATCCCAGCACTTTAAATGCTTCTACTAAAGCCGCAGTGTCCGTAAATTCTTCCAAACTGTTGGCTCCCAGTTTGCTGACTATATGTTTCTCTAGACATTTTTACAAACTTTTTAACGGGTTCCAGACCCGTTTAGACGCAAAACTTTAACAGGGCCTTGAAGGAACTTGAATGTTTTGTCTGTTTTATTGCTCATCTGTCCGCAAAAGGATGAAATCACACAGCGGGACAGAGGGGAGACCATGAAACCAGAGCCCTGAAAAATCTGTTTTTTCCATTTAATGTCCGACCGATGCGTCCCTTGATGCCGAACGCTCGGGGGGGTGCGCTGCTGTCATCCAGCTTTACAAAGCTACAAAGAACATACCATAAACTCTCATTCACACAAAGCCACAAACATCTTTTTTTTTTAAACGCAATGAATGAAAAACAGTGAACATTGTATTGAGACCACAACAACCCCCCATTCCTTATTAAACTGTTCTCTCCTGGAAACACTCAACTAATGTTTTCCAAAACGGCCTTGTTCTCCTCTCTGCTCCCTTTTTCGCTCGATCCATGCCTCAGGGCAGGAGGGGTCCACTCCATATTGTCTTCATTAGACCTGGTTCGGAAAGATGGTGCGGGTATGAATGTGTGTGGAGGAGGCTGCCAGGTCCTAAACCACATTCTTTAAATTCCCTGTAAACAAGAGGGAGGCAGAGATGAGAAGGGTTAGAGAGGTTATAAGGGTGAGCGCTCGCTCTAACAAACCCACAGAGGAGGACGGACAGCAGAGGAGGATCATATTCTTCTCATTAAGCAAAGCTAAACACATATTAAGACACCGAGAGAAACCGAACACGAGCGTATGAGTGCCAGTGGAAATGCAAAGCAACATCTGGCAGAGGTGAGCCCTGTCAGTGCTGAGGAAACACAAGCATGCAAAGCAGGAATAGATATGGAAATGCCAATATGGGAGCTCATTTGCATGAGGACACAGATTGGTTTCCATGCCCGACGAACGCTCAAATATGCACACAAAGCAAGTGTTTGGACACAATAGGTGCATTATAAAAGGTAGTTGACGGTTTAGTTTTGGGAAGGGGGAGAAGAAGAAAAAAAGCTGTATTGTTGATCTTTTGTTATGCTAAACGCTACGATGGGTAAAAACAAACACGCGGCACGTGTCCTCTGCGGGGATGAGTAATTGCCCTGACGCACTGAGGGAGGATGTCCTGTTTGTTGGCTATTGTGGAGCTGTCAGTGCAGTCCTGTCACGTCCCGACTACGGTGAACAAAAGCTTTATCGAAAGTGGAACAACAACAACTGCAGCGACTGCCACAACTGGGAACTGTAAACATTAGAGCTGGCTAGTCAGGCTGTCTTCAGACCTACAAATATGGAGAGAATGCTGCATCTTCATCACCTTAGGGAGCCATCATACTCTAAACTGCTTTAAAAGTTTTGAAACAATGACATTAAATCAAAAACTTTACTGTAGAAATAATTCTGCTGTTTAGCCCACAACTGACTTTACATCTTAGTAAAAGAAATCAATAATTTTTTTCAGATGAAAAACTGTATTACTTGGTGTTTCTTCAACCAAGAGAAGCAATTGCAAAATGCTGAAAACCACAAGAAGCAAATGAGCCCAGATGCTCCAAACCTCCTGGTCTGACAGGCTCCCACACCCAATCAGATTGGATGGTTCACTTGTTCGACTGATTTACGACTTTCTCACTGCAGATAAAGCTCAGCTGTAGAGAGTCTGCAACATGAAGCAGGCCAGTCCTGTTAATCTTCCGGCCATTATTCCTTTCTCTGTCCGCTTTACAGTCTGCACTCCTGCTGCTTAAAATAAAAAAGTAAGGCTTATCTGCACTCTGCATTCCTGCAAGGAAACAAATGTGCATCATGGATGGTTTCGCAAACCCCAGCTGTTCACCACAACACCCTCTCTCATAAGCTTTAATGCAAGTTACAGTATTACTTTTTCCCACACTTTGAACCATGAGAAGGTGCAGCTTTTCTCTGGATTTCTTCTAACCACCAGAGGGGGAAATCAAAGCTATTAAGGAAAATGAAAGAATAAGGCAAAATATAATATGTATATATATATATCTATATATATATATATATCTATATATATATA